TAGATAAAAATTTTGTATTGCAGGCATGATCAAATTAAAAAGCTACTTCAGCCTGCAGAGACACTGTGGCATTGCGTCGTACCTGACCAAAAACATTCACAGAATTGGCAATGTTTTAACAAGAGTCCTCAATACTTAACGTATTATGACCCTCCGTTTTCCATCTTCAGGTAGAAATTGTAGTAAGTTACTGTAGAACTCAACTCTTCCTGATCTGCACTAAAACCCAGAAACAAGTATGGTATTTCAGACTCTACTAAAACCAAGACGACTTGGAAGACAGATTCTTACAAGACTGACAATGGCAGCATACAAAAATATACACACGATTGGCATCCAACTCAGCCTCTAGGTCTTTGTTGCAGACAGAAGGACAAGTTTCCAGCTTCTTACACTTGATGGCTCTGATAGTATCAGTATCATGTTTAAGCGTTCACTAAAAAGGCTGCATGTTTTCTCTGAAAAGCAGTGGCTTTAAATTCTGTTCTGTTTTCACACAATAAGATGTATTTTGCATCTCAACTAAATTCTAAAGGAGACCATCTGGAAGGACTACACAGTATAGTATTCGATGTATACTACACCAAAGCATCATAGATGACCATACTTTGTAGTCATACAGCTTAATGATGAACGTTCAGTACAGCTGATGCAATCCAAGGTATAAGCTTCTGGATTCTCTCCCAATGCCTACTCCCTTAATGAATTCTGGCATAGTAAGAAATACACTTAAAGGACAAAAAAATCCAAACAGTTGTAAGTAGTTCTGTATGTAATAAAGAATACTTTCACATTCTATTTGTCTAATATTGCACTTCAAACCCTCTGAGTATCAGAATTTTGGTAACCACTTTGATAACCTTTTAATAACATTTTTCAGAAATACATCATGAAGTAAAGACTGGAAAAGCGCCAATACTTTTAATTAATTTAGAAGTATTTACATATTAAGAGATGAGGCAGCCAACATATAATTGCTTCCAGGACTAGTACCACAAAGCACAGAAAGATGCTGCCCCTTAAGCATTACAAAGGATTTTTTCCTCCTCCAAATTACAGCATGAAAGTTTTGACATCTAAAAATCATAATTTCAGAACTAGGATATTATACCTTTAAAAGAAGCCCTTCTCCCCATATCTATATAACATACATCACCTCCTTGTTATGAAATGTTATAAACAGGTATTTTGATTGCTAGATGGAAAGGAAATTTTAAATACATAAAGAGTTACACTGAATGAAAAGCACTTGTGAGTTCTTTCAATGACTAGAGATGCATTAAGCGTTTTCCTAACAAAAACTTCTGTGAATAGAAACATACACTAGCATTAGTTCCTTGAGGCAGAGAGAAATAATAATTGCTGCCAAGATTCACTATACTGTAATTTCTCTATGCGGTAAAGAAGGCAATTCTGCCTTCTGGTTCCACAGAGAAATTAATATTTATCTTTTGTAACAAAATGTCCTAGCTTTTGAGAATTACTGAAGCTTTAGCTGAAGATTCAACTCTTGGTCCTAATTACACATTTTCTGGGCTAACAAGAATGGTAACTTTGCAGAGGAGAAGAAAAGAAACTTCCCCTTTCATTCATTAAGGTTTCTGTTTAGGTAGCAAAGAAAAAAACAAAAAAAAAAGAAAAACATTGGTTCTAAAGCAACCTGGAAAGGAGACACTGGTCACAACACAAAAAACCCAAGCTCATACAGGATCAGAATATTCACTATATCTATCTAGCTTAAACTAGATTTTAATATATTCACATTACATTTCCAAATCATATACCTAAGTTGCAGACCTCCAAACTTTGCACTGACAAGTTAATTTTATATCCATTAGTTACTGCTGTTAAATTCACACACATTTAACCCAGAGAACCTTGTGTTGGCAGATCTGCTGTTTGGAGGTTCCACCACCTTTGTCTCACAAAACACGACCCCAGGCGTGATGTCAGGTCAGCTTTACTGTCTACAAGGTACGCTGCCAACATGCTTGTCCCACCATGGTAATCCTTACGTATCTGTGACAAGGCACTGGCACGCAAACATGACCAAAAGACCAGTAAAAAGCCTACATAATTTCCAGTTCCCTTTTGCTTTTCCTATCAGACAAATACATACAAGATAACATTTGGGTTCTCATTTGGATTTTCATATTCCAACCCTATCACAGGCAGCCTGCCACCCTACCTGTGGCTTAATACAGACTCCTTTCTCTGTTTTCACTTGTCTGTACCCAGATGTATTAGCACTTTCTCACATGTACGGCTGAGTGACAACTTTTATGAAGCCTATTTTTATAAACACTTCGGCAAAGCATTTATGTGAGTACACATTCTAATAAGCCTTCCAACAAAGCCTGGACTTACATACATGCATCACTCTCCACATGAAAAAGGCAGGTGTTTACATGTAAATGCATACGCATCCAAAGCTGTAATGCTCAACTACAAATCAGTAGAAATTTTAAGTTTTAGTGTTTATACTCTGAGGCTGTCCAGAATCTCCGATAATACAGGCAGACAATACTGCACCCACATGCAAGAAATAATCCTGTCCCTGCTTGGAAAGGAGGGATGACTGTCCCCTCATTGTCACGCTGGATTGCTGAAAAGATGAGTATCAAGAGTCCTTTCAATGAAAATCTCCCAATATCTCAGCGGTTCATAAAGTCCTGCAAGGAAGCACTCTCAGTTTTTATAATCATCACTGCTCTGTGACAGACACCAGACTGGATGTGGACTCTCAAATGCCATCCCGTACTGCTTGGAAACCCACATGGTGAGAAGACTCAGATGACCTTTCTGCCATCTCCCATACACATGGTGCACAGGTAGAGGGTTTGGAGGATGCTGTCCAAAACCTTGATCTCTGCTCACAGTGAACTTACTCACCCTGAACTGGTCACTGAGTAATGGGAGTCTAGGGTTACAAAACTCCAGTAGCTGAAAGTTATTCTCTCAAACCCAGTTGTAGGCATATCTATTTCACCTAGCCACATTGTTCCATGGAACCACTACCTGGTTCTGCTAAACCAGACTTGCCTCCCACAGCCCAGAATCCCTGGGTAGTCAGGGACTGAACAGTTGCAATGATAAAGACTCCCAGAAATTCATTATCCCTGTCTTCTTCCTCAGATCACAAGACATCCAGAAGAGTAAAAATAATTTCTTCTGGAATGTCTCCCAGACACAAGTTACACACTAAATTCTCTCCCTATTGTGCCTCTCTCCAACTGATAAACAACTTGAAGGCACCAGGGCTCACTTGTAGATGAGCAGGAAAAAAATAAGTGGAAAACAGAAACTAGGCTTGCTTCCTTACATGAGGCCACATGTAATTGTGGAGGCAGCACCAACATCCTACCATTATCAATGAGAGCTACAGTGTGGTATTTCATAAAGAGGTCCACTGGGAACTCACAGTCCAGAAAGCAAAGGACTGGGGGATAGCTCTCTTTTGGATAGTTTCAAAGCACAGGCCTAACAGGGATGTCCAGGCCAGGGAACCAGGCTAGGTCTAATCCAAAGCAAAACCCCCAAAGCATGATTAGAGTAGCCACAGCATCCCCAGCAACAACTGCTTTCACCTACTCATCTGCTTCTTTTGTGGTTCACTACTTATTAATGCAGACAAAGCCTAAAACTGCATTTAAAAAAATAATCTATATGCACTCAAAAGTACTTAAAAATGAAAAATAATAAGCGCAAACCCAACTGCAGTTCACGTCATTGTGAACAGTAATTATAACCGCACAGCGCTATTCAGGAATATTCTGCATTCCTGTCGCATGCAAAACTGTCTGAAGTTGGGGAACTTCACTTAATGAAATTTATTGCCGACTACAAAAACTTTAGTTACCCATTCAGGTATTTGTAAACAAGACAAACAGTCAAACAAACACCCAAAGAAAGCACTTTTCCTCCCTCTTTCTTTATCTCAACTTTACTTCAGACACCCCTCTCTCCTCCTTCCTAGTTCCCACTCTTCTTGTTTTTCCCATTATGTTACACTCGGTCCCTTTGGTAAGGCAGTGGGTGGTGCAAGAGAGCGGGGTTAGTGCATAGTGGCTTGCTCCTTTTGCCTCTCCTTGTTTCTTACTCCTTTCAATTGCTTTAGTGTGGGTCCTCCACCAGTCAAAATGCCCTCGGGGATTGCGCCTCTCCAGCGCAGATTCCTCCAAGGGTTCAAGTCGTTTCAGAGGCGTACCTCCTCCTGTGTTTTCTTTTGTGTGTCCTTACACATCTCCTCCTGTCTTTCCCTTCATGCCTGCTCCACTACCTCCCCCTGTATCTCTGTGCACCATTTTGTGTCTCCTGCATCACCTTTGTGCCTCCTTCTCTGTCTTCTTTTGTGCCTCCTAACTTCCCTCCTCTTGTATCCCTACTTGTCCCTCCTGACATGTTTTCCTTTGCTTTTCCTCCTCTGCTCTGGTGTCTCCTGTCCCTAGTAGCTACCAACCTTTCTTAACTATGTTATGACAGAGGTGCCACATGCTCTTCTGTTTGGTTCCAATTTCAGTTATGCAGTGAGTCTGTACTGTCCTTCATGGAGCTGGCTGGAAATGGCTGTGCCTAGCACAGTGAAGTCGACGATCTCCTCCCACACAGGTCAGCCCCGCAGGCCCCCCGCTACGAAACCCCTGCTGTTTATGTCACATACAATTCCAAAGGTGAAGAGAAAAAAGAAGAAAAAAAAAAATTTTTTTCTACAGCTCAGCCATAATGATCTATGGAGTAAACCATATGAATGTCAATAGGCATTGACAGAAAACATCCCTTGTCATCAATACTTGATAAACAAAAATAACCTAGTTTAATGCAGTTAATCTCTCCTAAAGAGCTATTTACAGGTGCATTAATATTAATGAGAAATGCATTCATTTCTAAAGAACAGATCCCAAGACTACATATAATATGTTTTCTTACATATACTAGTCCCGGAATATGAACTTGGGCTGAGAAGACTATATACTTCTGGAAATTAATTAAATTCGACTTACCATAACAGAATCAAGTTTTTGTTTCACCTTTTGCATTCTCACTGATGCTTTTGCAACACTGACAAACTGATCTGCTGGAGACATCACTGAACTTTTTTGTACAGGAATTTCAGAAAAACTGCTAAAGAACTGTGGCCCTCTTGGTGCAGCAGTGGTAAGTGATGAAGTGAGATCTTTTACGAGTTCAGCTTCCTGTAGTGCAACTGTAGAAATAACCCATATTAATGTGTCAGGTGAAGCCTTACATTGCCATGCGAAAAAAAATTGAATGATCACTGTCATTTTGCCAGCCATATCTTCAGTGAAACACCATCAGAATCTGCACTAATAGTGCCATAGGAAAAACCTGAAAATGACATTAAATTTTCCCCATACCCCATTTCCCCCTAGATCTTCCTGATCACAAAGTCTCCTTTCTGTTATCTGTGTTCAATAACTTCTCAGACAGAACTGATATTTTTGTATTGCTTATAAACAATAGTGTTCTTCATGCAGAAATATTGGGGGTGGGTGGGGAGAAAGGAATGTTCTCAAAGGGAAGAAAGTTATATAGCTTGCACTGAGTTCAAGTCAGCTGTTTTACTAGATACATTTCACATTTTTTCTTCCTAGTTCAAGTGAGGTTGTTATGCTTGAGTAAAACTCAAGAAGATGCAAGACATATACAGGCACAGGAGGCATTCTTAGGAGGTAGCCTGCTCTAGAACAGTATACTTTTGACTAAAGTTGTGCTCACTATCATTTAAACAAATTGTTTGACTTTTTCAGGTTTTTGTACTGTGGTCTTAAACTAACAAAGGTTAAAAGAATCATTCAGGAAAGTTATGTCCACGATATTCATAAAACTGTTGGTGTATGTAAAACACATACTGTTGGAGTCTTAAAAACTGTGTCAGTGACTAAAATTAGCATTTCTGTATGATTAACCCTTTCAACACTAAGGCAGTAAGACTATCTTCTGAAAGCAAAGTGCGTGCTTTTAACCAAAAAAGGAACAAAAAGTTAGTAACAGACAACATAGAAAAGACCACAACCTATGCAAAATCTTACTGTCACCAGTGACTTAGTTAAGTAGTCAGATGATACAAATAACTACCAGTGTGATATCTGTGTGACCTCTAAATATACATACACACACACACGTATATATATTAAACTACCCTATCATCTTTTTAAAGACTCACTGTCTGCTGAACAGTCAAAAAAATTTAAAGAAATCCTTAACCCAAGGAATTTTCCACTGCTCTGTAGAATACAGATGCCTTACTGGGTTAAAGTTTAGCACTGAATATTGATTGTAAAGTCATTCCACTTTATTTTCCTGTAAAAGTCAACCAGTTCAACAGACAAATAACCTAAACTGTGAGATTTGATATGAGTAATCTCTTTAGTGCATGTTATTTAAAAAGCAAATGTATAAAGACGGGATAAGCTTTTTAAATCTATGTTCACTGCAAATATAATTCAAACAAAAATCTGTTGCAGATATGCAAAATTTGTTGGATAATTTGTACTAACATTATCTACTGGCTAGATGCAACATGACATCTGAAACTATATCTTTAATAGAAACAATGACACCGCTAAAGCTAACCACAAAAACACAACATCAGAAAAGCCTGCAAAGGACAGTCTGAATTTCATTTTGTGTATCAAAAAATTCAAAGCTAGCATTTATCACTATCTTCTCTTCAATATGCCATGGGGAATAAATGTATCTCTCGCATAATCACCCCACAGACCTAACACTTGTTTATTAAATCAATCTACACTCTCTCCTATTTATTAATTTCTATACTGCTCCTTAACGTTATTTTCTAACATAGGCAGCACAAAATAATGATATTTCTATTAAGCCATTCATTGATTTTCAGAATAATAGTAGTTTCTGACTCCATAATCCACCTTGATACTGAAAAGGGGCTTTTAAATATTTATATGACACTGCCTATACCTGATAAAAGCACTGCAAGAATCAGGCAGGATGACATACAATAACAGATCTAAACTTGAGGTTCAAGGGGCCTCTAGTGATTGGCTAGGCCAAAGCCCCTGCTCAAAGCCGGGTCACCTAGAACAGGCTGCTCAGGGTCATATGAGCCCAGTTGGGTTTTGATATCTCCCAGGATATCATCAAATGACTGTATACTTTTTCCTTCAAAAGAAGCACAAATACTATCAAGGCACTTCTAAAAATAAAACATTTACAGGTATGTGTCAAGAAAATTTGTACTGTACCTTTATAATCATAAATGTATACAAGTATTGGCTGGTTTTGACCAAAGGCACAAAATGACACCATGTGTTCATGCGGATGAAAGGCAACATCACGAAGTGGAGATGTGAAGGAGAGTTCAGAGTATATGGCCACCTGATCTCCTACAGATGTGAAATACATTTATTAATAACATGGAAACACATTTGATACAGCAAAATAACAGTTGGTTAAAGCTTGTATTATGACAGTGCAGTGACTGTCACTGTACATAAATATTCTTCAATCCATTTCTTTATTTAAAATCAGTATTTGGCATACAACAAAAAATATTGCATGCTTTTAAGTTATTCAGTAAGTCAGAGAAGTTAGTGCGGTTGCAAGAGCTGCAGGAAACCCGAGAGGATGCCATAAGGTTAGCTGAGTTCTCTTGTTCTGATAAGCAGGTTCTGGAAAGGTGGCGTTCCACAGTATTTGTTTGTGCTTGCATTTTGCCAGAGATAGCTATCTTAGTTATGGATTTCAATTATATCATACTGACAACAGGACTGAAAGTTGAGCACACAATTATTAAAAAAAGTCAGCTCTTCAGCTGATGTCATTACGAATGCAAGTACAGTGTGTAAGCAAGAGTCAAAGCCCAGTGACAACATACTAAGAAACTTCCTCCCTCCTTTTACTTTTATGCTTTTTTAAAGTTTTCAGACAAATCATGTAGTGGCATAGATGTAAGTTAATACAGCTGGAAACATGGAAAGAAATTGAAAACAGAACTGTTGGTTAGCTGTCAGTTTTAAAATATTTACTGCTTCCTTTTTAAAAATTTAGATCATAATTGGAGACAGAACATAATGTCATCAAAACCAAAAAGTGTATTCTGCTACCTCCTACTGTTATTTTTTTTCCCTTTTACCTCACTGTACAACAAAGATAACAAACTCTTTATCTTATATTTGCTTAACATTTTTCCAGAAAGATTTTGGTAGCTATTTTGAAACTATTCAGTTTGGGGAGTAATTCACGAAGAAACCTTATATTCCAGAGGCCAAAAATATTCAGAGTCTCTGATCATCCCTGGGAAACAGATGAAGTAGTTCTCAACAAAAGCCTAATTCCCAAATCCAAAACAGGCAGCAGAAAGACTGATTTGACTTGATACATTTTTGTGCATTCCATTTTAAGACCATCATCCACATCTGAAAAACAGCTACCTCTGCCTAGTAATTTCCTCTAGAGAATAAAATCTTAAGAGATTAATAAAAGGTATTTAAAAGGTGGAGCTAAGGCTTCAGGACTTAAGAACAACTTACTGAAGTTTTATTCCACAACAAAAGTGTTTCAATAAAGCTTACAAAACCCTTTCCCCCTCAGTCTGGAGAACCTGGTTTAAGAACATAAAATAATTAGTTACCTGTTTCTGCATTCCAAACATAAGCCTTTCCATCTTCACTTCCAGAAAACAGGAATGTACCACAAGGTGTTAAGGTGCTGTGAATATTTTCTCTGTAATTTGTGGCACCTATGTATTTCTTTGTAGCCAAGCTAAAGATAAAAGAATAGTTTGCAAATGTAGCAGATACCTTTAGAACAGACCACCTAACTTTTTCTCTCTCAGTGCCAAGATGAAGATAAAGACCAGTGTGAAAGTGTAGCAGATACCTTTAGAATAGACCATCTAACTTTTTCTCTCTCATTGCCCCTCTGTTCCTCAGAAAAATCAATACACCTTGCATCCCAAATAGATATGCAAGCACCCACCTTTTGTAGAGTGCAGTGTTTACCTTTTCTTTTCCCTGGCTTTCATAATGCACCTGAAATTACAGATGAAAGTATACAACCTTGTGTTTCAGTAGAGAATGGACATACTCAAATCTAGAGAATGGATACAGATGTAGTAATTCACACTTTCTTGACCCTGGGCTTTGCAGAAAATAGGGAAATAGGCACAATTACTCCAAGCTCTCCAAAAAAGTTTTGGTTATGCTTCCTGAGCCTGATTACATCCCTGTAGTGCTTAAATTTATCCAGCAGCTCTCCTTAGCTCCTTGGACTAGTGTCTCATTGGTTAGAAAACCAGCAGTAGAATTAATAAATTTTCAGACATCAATGTTGATTTACTATTAATAGTTTTAATATTATTGTGGTACTTTGGTATCCTAATTTTTTTTTTTTCAGTGAAACACTACTGGTTAGCATAGTAATAATGACCTACTAATGAACTACTGTCAAGCAGTCTGTAGGCAAGACGTAAGAGAGAATCTGCAAAAGGATTTAAAGAAGCATAAGCCAGCTTGTAAGAGGCTAATCTCAAACATGAGGTACAGGTTGGAAAGAGATATGAAAGTTCAAAATGCAGGCTAATACAGCAGTAACACTATGATGCAGAATTTGAGGCAAGAATAGCAATAGCCCATGACAGCCCTCAAAGACAGTAGACGGTAATTTTTAAAATGTGTTACTGCTGAAACAATGGAGGTATGCTGGGAGAAGTGCAATGCAGTTAATATGACAGGAAAATTATTTTTAACAATATTCTGAATAAATATACCTTAGATACAATTCCATTTGGCAAGCCAGAGAAAATGATGCTTTAATGTTTACAGTGCAAGACCATCTCAGCCCAAATCAGAGTTTTAGTTGTGTGAATAAGATAGTATCTCTGAGATGTCATGTAGAAGAGCTCTGCAAGATGTAAAACTAACCTGCATATGAAACCCTAAGGAGAGGTCTGAACCAAAACCAAATCCCTGATCACATACCTGAGTGACATGACAGCAGCATTATCCAAAAAGATCAAAAAAGCAAGTTGAAAGAGGAAAGTTAAGAACAACTAGTTGTCAATCAAAGTGAATTGTGTTGATCTGTGACCTCCACCCCCTCTTTTCTCATGCAGGGAATGAACAGTTAATGCTGACGTGTAAAATTATCACTGCTGGGTATCTGACCCTGTGGTTTATTGATAGACTTAAGTCAGTGTAACTGTGGGCTGCGGTCAAAGCAGCAGTCCTGCTGCTATCCTCTCCACCCTTATTTTCCCAGGCTCTCCCTTATTTCATCTCTAGTGTTTGGGCAGCTATCCGATGAGTTAGATCAGATAGCTGATTAAAATGAAAATTAATCATTTGTATTTGTAGGCTGATTTAGTCGGATCAGTTCACTGATCTGACTTACCCTGCATCAAAAGATCTCTAGAACTGATAAAAAGGAAATGCTAGGAATACATGGCCAAAGGTGTGGGAGACAGGAGGAGATGGTGTGTCCTACAGAGAAACTGGCTTTATAATTGTGAAATTTTGCACACCATGTTAACCCTTTCTTAGAGATTAATATGCACATCCTTTTTTCTCTCTCAAACTAAAACTCTCTGTGCTTTCTAGGAATGGTAGTGATAGAAGAACACTATCTGCTTCAAAAACTACAGGTTTTTTGTTAATCCACCGATTTCATGCTTCCATTGAGCGGATAGTTTAGCCTTCTAGCATGGTCATTATAATTTATCATTTACAGTAAAAGATGAAGCGTGCACTACATGACTGGAAAGTCTTCAGCTAGTTCAGACATCCAATCCAATATGTTATTTCAGAGTGAAGTTTCCTGAGAAACGTAGTTTTTCATGCCAGGGGAGCATAAAGAGGTATTTCCCCCACATAATTTCATGCATCAAAAGTTATCTTCATGCCCAGATTGCATTTTTAAAAGTGAGTTCAATCTTTAGGAGACTAGTGTCTTCTACTTCATGCCACCTTAAGCTCCCGAGTAATCTAGCAGTTTTTGGATATTCTACTCTAAAAGACTTACCCAATATCACACAAAAGGTCTGTAATACAGCAGTGTTTTGAAACTGTTTCCTAACCCTAATATTGCTATCCTTGATTATTAGGACATCTTCTCCACAACTATACTTTTAATAGTTTTATGGCACTGTATTTCCCCAAGTAAATTTTAAAACAGAAAGGAAATATGCACTTGTCACCAAAAATCTACTTACATTCTGAGATCCATGATTCTCAGGGTACTGTCTTTGGCGTGAATTAATAAACGCCTTCCATTTGGATGCAACTCCAAATGATTTATCGGTGTTCCTTGAATATCATTTTGTTTTATTTCCTACAGAAAGAAGGAAAAAAAAGTAAAAAACCATAACCTTGTATTTTAAAACTCTGTTTTTTTACACATTATTACTCATTTTTCTCTTGTATTACTCTTTTTCTGCCTACTTCGTTCTATTTGGTTAAGGAAAAAGTTTGCTCCTGTATTAAGGCCTTATATCCCAGGCAATTAACTTTTCACAACCACAAGGCAGATTCTACCATGACTATGAATTTCTGAAACACAGCTGATGACAAAAATGCTGTATGAACATCAGGCCTCTAAGGTATGGACAAAGGTGACTGGTAAAGCCTGTGGTCTAGAGAACAAATCTAATGCACTAGCATTCATCTGTTAATACAATGCTATTAAACCTCAAGTATTTTAATGTTTTAGATACAAAAAATAGAAGTTGCAAAACAACTCAAAAATTTTGTCAGTGAATCACAGCATGTTCTATCAGCTCTTTTGTATCCTTATTTAAAGAAAATACACCTTTTCAAACAAAAGTTAATGTATAATAAAATTTGAATTCAAATCAAATTACTGGATTTGTAACATCACATAAAAATTACAATGCTAGTTTAAGAAACCTGTATACCTTATTAACCCTCCAGTGCTGAAACAGGTGCTGAGAACTTCCTTTGACAGATGTATCCCAAACTATTATTAGTCCTGAACTATCTCCTGAAAACATGTGGAGCCCTATGAAATAATAACATCTTATAAGTAGAAGAATACCACACAAGAGAACAAATAGAGAAAAGGATGTATGAACAAGAAACAACTTTTTTCTATTATTTTTGTGAATAAGTGAACACCAATTCTTTTCTCTCTTTTGCTATGATACACATTTTGCTCATACTGCATGACATAAGTTGATATCATAAATCTGGATTCAGCACCTAAGTCAGATACTAGGGCGCTGAATATTCTTTTAAGCTTTTTCATTTTTACTCATATTCCAGAACCAGCAAAAAAATGAGCATTTATAGCTCAATGAGCTTCACATGATAGCCTAATGCTTACCTATACATTCACTGAGAGTATCTTGAACAAGAAGAAACACTGTTTTCTAATAGTTGTTCTTAAATTAAGCACAAATACTTACTCTTTATAAAAACGCAACTCTTTCCTCTTTGTAGCACCTACTCTAGTGAATACCTCAAAAAATGAACCACCTGATTATTAACAATGTCACTGATACCAGAAAAATTCAAACTCTTCCAAGTATCTTATTCACCCATATTCAACTCTTCCTACTCTCCACTAGTACATGTCAGTACGGCGCTCTCACTTGCTTTCAGCCGTTAATCTACCAGTTAACATTACTCACAACAGTCAAATCTCTGTCCTTTCCTCTCAGTTTCTCACTTTCTCTGGCAATGTTGAACAGTTCATCACCTTCCACCTTCTTCAGTCTAGCATTAAAGTTGCCACAACTGAACTATGCCTACCTCATTTTCTTTATCTTTGTATGGAGTTGATAACTTTGAATGACAATATGGTGGAGTTTTGCTACCGTTCTGATCACGCAATCTCCTGTTCTGAGAGTTCTCTAGAAGCTGGTTTCAGATTTTCTGCTTCTGCTTTTAAGTTAGTACATAAATCTTCCACCCACTTCTTTAGCCAAATCTGCCTTTTTTCCAACTTCTGTCTCTACACTAACTACTAGGCTTTTCACCTACATCCTGATCCATTTGTCTCCTCTGAACTGTAACATCTACACTTTACGCTCTGCTAACTTTTCCTGCAATATGTACAAAACATTAGCTAACCAACAACAGCTAGTTATAGGGACAATGAAAACTAAACTATGACCAAAATTCACCCAGTCATCATTGCCCGATGACTACACGTCTGTGTGCATGTGCTTTCTACACTTACCTTTTCTGATTATTCTCACTTTGTATCAGGGACTATGTGTCCCTTTGTGTTCATCCAAATAAAACACCATACTAACACATTAATTGCAAACATGGCTAAAAACACTCTATTCTATTACAACATTTCACACTGCCTCTGAAAAAAAGCAAACTAGTAATACTCAAGTTGGTCTTCAACTGAAGACTATTTGAAAATGTAATACTAAGTACACACCTTCTCCATCAAAACAAAGTGTGTTGATGAAACTTTTGTGACCATCAAGCTCCTGTAGCAGTTGCCCATGGATTTCTTTCACATTTGCATTCCAGATTCTAATCACCGAGTCATAACATCCTGTGACAACCAAGGAGTCAGCGACAGGATGGTACTTTGCAGTGTAAACAAATGAAGGATGAGGGAAAACTCTCACTGCAGATGCTGCCTGCATTTCTATCTTCCACATTCTAAAAGGAAAGGATGTTAAGATATCCACTGTATAAAGCAATCACATACACAGGTATAACTGATGCCATATTTTGTTCTAGTGGTTCTAGAGGCAAATGCTTGCAAACACTTAACACCACCTGTTTATTCTACCAATTTGACCCACCTATATATTTAATCCTTTAATATGGTACTTTCTAACACGAAATAAGATGCATTTACTACTTTAGATAGTACTCCATCTTCAACGTAAATGGAAGTGACTACTTACTTATTTAATGGATATTTTGCACATTTTAAAATACACATAAAGAATTTCATGGAATAGATTGGTTTCTTTCTTTCAGAAGTTATAAACAAATTATTAAGTCCTTCTTGGCTTAAAAACCTACAAAGGAACATGTAGGACCACTAAATATAAATAACACCCCAGAAAGTTTTAAAAGAACAACTACCTACCACACAGTGATTCTGATTTCAAGGATGTTTTCTTCACATAAATTCAGTTCTCACTATTCATCTATTTCCTATCCTTCACTACACACAGCTGTAATATCAGATTTTTCTTAGGAAGTGGGGTTTTTCTGATGCTATACATTTTAATATTGAGCCTTCCCCAAAGATGAGTCCATAAAGAATTGAATGGTACCTGGATCATGAAATACAGGTGGGCAGCACATTTCAGAGAGTGCTCAGTTACAAGATGGAATTTAATTGTTTGAGTGGCACCTTTCCACATGGGGTGACTACTTCTGGTGGCTACCAAAGAATTCTAAGCTTATTCTGAGGAGAGTTCATTACAAAATTGCAATCCCCTACATTATAGCAATTAACTTGCAACTTAATGTACAAAGGTCACAAGGAGTCTACCTATCTTTTAGAATGGTTTTGCTCTAACAACATAAAAATTAATTTATTGTTCACAAATAATGTGGGACTAAAGCTTGGGAAGGCTTAAGAATAATGTACAAAACACTATCTAAAGAAGGATTCATGTAAATTCCCAAATTTCCCTTCTAGTTGCCTTAGAGCTCAGCCTGAGAGATGATCCAGATAATGAACTGATAATGACTTTAAAGCAACAGGGTAGCTTTTGGTCCTCATCCTTCAATTCTGCCATGTTTCAACGGCAAAATGCTCCCAATATGAAAGGGAAAAAGAAGAAACTCATTGCCTAAACTGAGACTTTTGAAGGAGTTTAAGGCAACAGACAATAAATACAGGAACTAACAACTTGTACAGTGACTATGCATAGTACACAGAAAAGGAGGCAGACCACTAGAGTTTCAATTTGCCGCCACAAAATTCAAGAACTGAGGAACAGCGGGGCTTTCTTTTAGGTAACATGCATGACTGAAATTGGTATTTACTTCAATATAAAATATTATTATTTAACCTGCTTCCAAACAAAAAATAAAACTGTGGGCTAAGCTTTCAAAATATTCTTTTTATTCCTACATACAAGCAACAAAAAAAAGCACAATAGTTCCACACATACAATATACCATTTAACAATTCTTCTGGCATTTTGATTATGCAACTGCCTGTAGCATTACTGAGTTGCATAACAGAACAAGAGACAGGGATCTGAAAAGCTAAAAAAAAAGATAAAGCCCTATGAAAACCTATGAAGTTGCTTGTAAAAAAATAATGCAGTGTCACAGCCATACTTTCATGCTTTTCTACAGTTTTGAGGGTTTTGCTTTTAAACCTTGAACAGATTAGTATTTTAACATTAACACTGCGTTGAAGTACACTTTTAAATTGTAGAGGAAAATGTGTACACAGTCAGTCTCAGAAACAATACTGTCAAAGTACATTTACAGCAATTTAACGTAAATTATTTAACCATGTGTCCCCCCAAAAAAAAGAAATTACATATATATGTACAGTGTGACCAATCTATACACGTAACTTTAATCTTTAATTTTCAATTTCCTGCCTCATATTAAGATCTGCAAATTTAATATTGCATTCACAGTATGGCAATTTCTCCAAGGGCAGAATATTCTAACTGTCTCAGTGACTTCTGGAAATACAGTCTTTTGGATTTCTTGCTGCACTGTAGATTTAGACACTACAGTTTTTGGAAAAGCTTTGGTCTCAAATACATATGCATTCTAAACTAATGTAGTAAATACAGCATGATTAACTGCATTTTAATTTTTATAATATTATGGAATAAATCACATTGCAATCAAATCTTTAATTAAAACATTATAACACAGTTTTCAGTAAGAAACTGGACCACTTTGTTTTGCACTTCTGACGCTACCTGCCAGAACATCATCATCATACTCACCTGACAGTGCCATCAGAGGATGCAGTAAGAAGATATTGATTGTCTTTTGACCAACAAAGGTCATACACTATGCTGAGGTGACCATAAAACTCTCTCAGGAACTGTCCAGAAGGAATTTCATACACTAGTGAAGTTTAAATAGAAAAATAAAAATTGTGTACATATTTACAATCAATTATATGAAATTATTAGTGCAAAGTTTCGTCTAATCTTGGGTGGAGTTTCTGCTTGCATAAGGCAACTAATTTTCTCTATCTCTTCATTTTCAGAGATCAAATAGTTGCTAGACATGCATGGACAGCAAGCATATACTTCCATCTAGTGGTTCATGGATGCCACAAACGTCTTAACCCTTGAGAAACAGCCAATTTGCTTTAAATTATTAGAACTAGATTTGGATTTTTTTTTTTTTTAATTTTGACAGCTACCCGACCAATCTTTGAACTAGATTAACATAGAGATCTTCTTCCAGTGCTGTGTAATAAAGGACTATAGACTTACTGTTCCTTGCATTTAAACATCACCTTTGTGTACACTTAAAATACTGTTCTCTCTAAATCTCAGAATTCTTATGCAGGGTTTCAGAACTATGCAGCTGAGGCTACTGTGAAGAAGCAGCCCCAAGTCTGACTAATAAGGAGTAGCTGTAGCTTCAACTGAACTGGACCGTGGAAGACAGTAGCCTCCAGTAGTCTGTCTAGAGATGACAGTATTCCAGATATCTAACTTTCACGACAGGTTAGGAGAAAAACTTACACAAAAAGCATTTGGTGGGGGCTAGAAAGGCTATCTCACTTAAAACCTTATCATCAGAAAACATATTCCTTTTGCAAACTGATTTAGTATTTCCGTTAGACCTCTGCACAGAAACTGTGATTTCATACCGTTAAACTGTATATACATTACCATGTATGAAAAGCCAGTTCCAGCCCATTTTCCTCAGTGTTCTTTAATGCACAGAACAATTTACAAAACAATTATAAAACAAAACCTCTAAAAAAACCCACAGAAATACATCTTTTGCCCTTTAATTTCAAACTACATGAGTTGTAAGAAAAAAACCCCAAAACATATTTCAAACTTACAAACAACGGGATAGCCATTCCTTCCTGCACAAGCTGCTGCCAGTGTTTTCCCATCATGAGAAAAACGAATACAGAAACAGCCCATATCTCCACCTCGCAGTGAAAACAGATGCTTGTTCGGTATGCGGCAAACCTAGCTTTTCAGGTAAGAACTGGGATTACAGTTATGAATGTTAACTACCCAATGCTTAAAACACATCCTTAGTTCCTGTCATGCATAAGTTTTAAAAAGCTACTAACATCTTAAGGAAATTTAAAAGAAATATTCAACCTTATAAACAGAGACAGTTCTGCTGTGTAACTTTGGCCACATGTAGTTTGTATATTCTTTTCCACTCCATTGTTACAGACTACTAGCAAGTTTTAAAAAACTAAGAAAATTTAAAATTGAAATAATCTCCTTAATCTTAAGTAGTGCTTAATGATGACTATCATCAATAATAAAAGCTGTAGAGTTAGACTAAGTCAAGCTCGTTTAAGGAGTCTAAGCACAACTTTCAGTAACTGAATGATTGCAATGAACTCAGAAGACTGGCGACAGGCCTCAGACCTTTGGTCTACCAAATCACCTTTAGCATTCCTCACATGTATTTCAGTTCCTGGTTTTTTTTAAACACAACTGAAGACAAAACACCTCCAAAAAATTTGCATGGGTATTATACCCCTTCCTCTCCCAACATATTTCCTCTTTTTCACCCAAGGGCTTTTTCTCCAGAACTAAATTCAAAGTTTAAGGTGAAATAAAATATCCAGAGTAGTTATGTGATTATTTAACCTAAATCTGATTTACCTCTATGAATTAAAAATTAGTATGAACAGATTCATATGCATTTAAAAGTATACACACAGATCTACTTATGAAATAATTGAATATACAATGTTCACTTCAGAATAAACGTAAACACATCTTGCTAGAAGCTATATATGCAATTAAGCCTTCTTATGCTTTTTAACATGTTTCTGAAATAAAACATTACAATGTTGAATGAATAATACAGCTCAGAACAAACTTTCATTTACAGGTCATGTAGCTACAACTCACATATAAAATTAATTTCATCTTTACTTCATATTTCAAGTAATTCATAATTCTAAAGAACACTTTTTGAAAATAAAATGTCATCCATCTATCTGTACCTATGAAGACAAATACAAATATGTTGTGGTTCTTTAAAAAGGTAATTTAGCTTTAAAGGTAAAACAATAATTCAAAAGTACAAAAAGGAAAAAATAATTTTGAGCAAATATTCATTTTTAAACAAGTACATCTGCTTTAATATTCTTTGGCAAATAGACATGCCACATCATGCTACTCTTACTGAAACTTTTTCACAAGACCGCACATCACAAAATACATAATTGTTGCAACTAAAGTTCTTCAATAAGTGTATAGACTAGTCTTAAGAATAAATGAGCTCCCAAATGTTATTTGTACAATGGCAGGCAAATATTCTTAGGCTCATATTTCTCTCAGTTTTGATTACACACTTATTTGCAGAATGGCAACTTTCTGAACAGTAATGAAAGTTAACATTAACACATTTTTTAGCTATCCTGCCATTTTTGGTAAGAAGATTTCCATCATTAAACTGACTCATCTATTTTTCACTATTTTATTATTATTAGCAAACATCACTGGGAAATAAAATTAAGGGTGTACATTTAAGTGTTCTTTTTGAAAGGATCTGTACGTGGACTACAATATGGAATCAAAATAAAAATCAACATTCTTTGTTAACAACTGTTATGTTACTCAGATTTTTACAGAACCATGAACTCATGCTAATGCCATTCTTCAGCAAAATATGAAATCATTGCATGGACATTCTATATATAGCTGCAAAAATATTCCCTTTTTATGATTGCTAATTTCCATTAGCTACAGTGATCTAGGAGCTAGGATGAAGTCAGTAAGAACCCTCTTTATAAGATTCTTCAATGAAAGTTCCTTCATATTTCTGTTATACCGTAAAAATAACTTTAACTGGGGGAATGAAAAAAAAAACCACCAACCAAAAAACCCCAAGAAAACATATTTTCAATCAAGCTGAAATCTGAAAACCGATTTCCTGTCTTGCTTCCACTATCTGAATAGCCCGACTCTGTCAAGTTCCTAGAGAATTCTGGAGGTAAAAATACCTGACTGTTCTGGAAAAAAATGGTTAAACCAACCACATTCGGTAAGACACTAAGCATCCTCTACTATTTCTGAGAGCTCCTCATGATTTGTACTTTGTTTAGCATTTTTTTCAATTTGCTCTAATGAATATCTTGCTTCCTAACACTTAGATCATAAAAATAAAGTTATAAAAACGTAGCAGATCTTTAAATTGTTTTTCTTTGAAAAGAAAACACTTCACCTGCCCAGGCAATCTTGTCCATTTAAATGGCTCCTTTTTCTCCTCTGGAAAAGCTTCACATGATTTTTTAGATCCCTCTCTCTGGAGCTCACACAGTATTGCTTTCACGTTCCTGCTTCATCCTGTGGTTAATAAATGTCAAACTTGCTGACGCTATAAAACAGCATCCATAAAATAATTTTAAAATGAACAGGGTAATATCTGAAAAGATTAAAAGGTACTTTTAACTTCAAATGCATTGCATTTTTACATCTAAAAAATAAAGAGATTGGAAAAAGCTTAATACAAGAAAACTGTGTAGCAAAAATTTCATTTAAAGTAACCAGCAAGTCAGCCGAGCTTCCAAAGTTGTGTCAATTGGATGGTATTACAGATTTTTCAAACAGTTCTTCTATTTTTATTAACTATCTGTGTCAGTGGAAAGTGAGTAACACTCCACTACCTGGTGAAGGTGTATGAAAAATACATTTTGGCATGTTCCAGTGACATTAACCTACCACCCTCAAATCAAGATACTACTTTGACAACAAAATCCACTCACGCTACCAAAAGATATTACCAGCATTGTGTATGTTCTAGTGTTGCAAAGAAAACAGGAGAACTGACCACATTCATGATGTGTGTACACATTAAAATACCTAATTGTAGGTCAAGCATACATACTTTCAAACTTCTATTAGCGTACATTTACTGAACCTCACCTAAAAGTTACACCAACCTTGAACACACAGGAAGCCTTAATGCTGTGAAGAAGCCTAGCAGCAGCAGCATGGCTGAGCAACACAGAGGCCACTAAGCACTGGCTGCAGTTCTGATTGGTTTCACTAAGACAAATTTCTTCAGAAACACACCTGAATACTAGGCAAAACTACTGTTTTCTTCCAGGGTGACAGTTGCTAGGTATTCACTTCAGGGTGAATAACTGTCTAGGTTCTTGTGACTAAAAATGGAGGTTAGACACCTACTATGCAAGTAGGAATCAATTTAGGAGCTTAAATCAGTTGGCTACACATAGATGTCTACTTCCATGCAAGATGCCCCATTTTATCTGAGACATCTCTTTTCATATCTACCAGCCTCTGCACGAGGTATGGGAGATCCGGCACCTTCTGGAGAAGCAGGAGAATAGGCAGGATCTGTAGCAGACCTTAAATGGAAGCAGAAATCTATGCACAGAAAACTGTATCAGGCCATGGCTCTTACATGGAGCTCAAATCCCAGCCTTGGAAAATCTGGCATTTACCAGAACAAGGAGGAAATAACATCAGGAGCAAATGGATCCAAGTCAAGCACAACACAGAAAGCCTATGCAAATTCATCACATCATTTGAGCTTCACAGAAGACTACAGTAGAAACAGCTATAAACCAGTGATAGCACCTAAACATATCAGAAGAACATTCAGACCATGGAGAAGATAGGCTTAGAACACTTCCAGAAAGATAAAGCACAGCTGCTCAAGCACAGCACACAAAATCTCTAACAATCTCAGCAGCTGACTGAGCAAGAGATCTGCAGATGTCATTCCAGTATACAGATTAGAAAAATGTCCCAAAAATATATGAACTAATCCCACAGATCTGCTTGGTTTTGGACCACATCTCACCAGGCTTCCACAGATCACCTTTGATTGTATGAACAGTAAGCAGAAGAAAGATTTATCACAACTGTAAATACACATGGAAAATTATGTAATAGAACAACATTGTACTCACACTGTAGAACAATAAATCCTCTATTTCTCTTGAATGCATATCTCAGCACATACCAGTGTAAGCCTGTCTTTAAAGGAGTTTTCATTTGAGAAAAAAAAACATGACTCATTGTAGCTTGAGGGTGCAGGGAATCAGAGTTAAGTGACTCACATCTTCTCTAACTTATAGAATTCACACACCTGCATAAGTCCAGTGACTTAAAATGGCATTTCTCGTAACAAGAAAGAATATCAATCTTCAAGAAAGTACCCTGAAAGTTTTCTGACTGTCAATGGCAAAATATGCAAAGTTGCAGATGGGAAAGTATGCCTGTTTTTCAAAGATAGCTATGAAGGGCTGAGTTTGGAACACATATCTTAGGATGAGAAGTTCTTATTACAGCTAGCTATACACCAGCTATTTTATATACTGTATGTAAGTACAGCTTTTACATATGTGCACGCAAACACATGCACACTCTAAGCTAGTTCTGGTTCCTACAGAAAAGTCTGTATATTTGTAAATATATTTATATATTACATATTTAACTTACATGATCTGGCAGTTTTATGCCTCTTACAGTTACATATAAAGTTGATGGGTAACGATTTCTAGGACATTTTGCCCACCAGTCATAAACCTCAACAAGATTCGAATGTGACTTGGTCCTTGGAGGTGGGTAATATAATTGCAGACGGAGTTTTCCGTCAACGTTTAGAACTCCATTTGCACCTACAAGCTGCAAGGGTGGTTAAAAAGAGGGAAAAAAAATGTGTTACATTAACATAAAAGTAATAAGAGTCATTGATTATTTCTAGTATCTTTAACAACTACAATATAAACTCTGAAATCCACTTCCCATGGGGGAAATACATTACCCCTAAAAGTGGCAATGAAGTAAGCATGTATCAATCACCCCCAGGATCAAATCACTAAGATTAAAGCTTAGATGGCAGCCTAGTTTTGAAACATACTTCATATGCACAACAGTAGTATCCTGTATGTGGAAAGACCTCTGTAGTACCACCTTTTTTTTTTTTTTTTAATTACTACTTGCTGGAAACACCCAAATCTCAAAGGACAGCCAATCCACAAAGAGTCTTTTCCAAATCTGCCCCCTTTGAACACTGCAGTAAAGGCATTAGTAAGGCTTTGACTCAGAGCAGAAGATACAGCAAAGCAGTAACCTTTCCAACTTCAGAGGAAATAGAGTTCTCTCTATTGAACTAAAGAACAAGTGTACCTACTGTCATTAACATTGACCACTGCTCACCAGGACATTTCTACTTTGACTGATACAGATGAAAGGATAATGCAGACATGCAGTAAGAATGAAGAACAGGCCATAATTTTATTTGTATTTGTGAGTTGGAAATTCATCCTTCCCTTTGTTCAGAAGTAGGCTGTACTGAATGCCTGGATGCACAGTTCCCACGAGCTATACACCCAGACATGGGACACCAGACTTCTGATTCCAGTAGATTCATTGGCAGAGTGGAGAAGAGACTCTGTATGGAATAATATGGACATCCCTCTCCATATCATTGGACCTGTCCAATGACATGAAGAAGATAATGGACTGCAAATCCATATCAATGGACTTCTGGTCCATCATACTCTTCCGTATTTCTCACGTCGTGGACTGCTCAATGGCTGTCAAGATCTACCACTCACAGGAGCAGGTGTAGACAAACAGCTCTCAGGCAAATTAAAACTCATTAGCTCTCAAAGGACAAATTGGCACATTTCAATAAAAAGGTATCTAATATGCTGGGTAAGTTACCTGTATCTCATTGCTACGGCATCTCAAATTCTGCAACTAAAAATGACAGGCATTTTATAACTAGGCTAGGGAGTCTATTTCAAAGACTGGCCAACTGAAAATGTCACTGGGGTACAGAAATTAGTGGATTTGTCATTTTCTTTGCAGAGACAATGAATGAACACACAGAAAATCTTCAAAGAAAACCTCCTTCTGTACTTTATGATAAAAAATAAATTCTTACACATTCTATACTTTCTTGAAAAATATGTATTCTTTACTGTCAAGCTTGTTACTGTGAATTTTATGGGGCAAAGGAAAAGGGAAAAGAGCAACAGCCAAGCAAGCAGGGATTTATTTTTCCATCTCTGTTGCCTAGAAATATTAAAAAATGTTTTCCCACTTACTATGGTCAGTGTCTTTTAGATAACTGATTAAAAAGATTTCTAAATTTACTTTCTTAATTTAAATATTTACAATACCTTTAGAAATGCCCAACAAATTTTTCGGAAACCACACTCCTGAATTTGTACATCAGAGTTGGCTCTCATTTCATCCATCCTTAGCAAATCAAGGATCTGGAAGTATTGGTAGGAATATAAATATACTTCTAACGAATATATACTTCATGGTAATTAAAAAATACTGCTGAAAATATGCTAGATGCGATTCACTAAATTAAGGAGATTTCATTTTTAAGTAAATACAAAAACAGTACTTCTTCCACACAAGTACGCACCTAGAAATAACAGATGCTTATGCATTTACCTGATGACTATTTCTTACTTGCTTTAAAAAAGAATCTAAGACTAGTCTTAAACCATTCTTGCTTCCCTACTGTCTCAACAAAAGAGGAAAACATTCATGTCTAATTTTCATATATCCTATATAGTTCACAAATCACATAGATCAAATCTAGCAGCCAAAACCAGCTGTATGTTAATCCAGCCAGAAAATGGCAGTCAAAAAGTTATTTCTCCTTTCCTACCTTTATCATTTACGTCATAGAAACAGTCATAGTATGATTTGGGTTGGAAGGGACCTTCAAAGATCATCTAATCCAACCCCTTGCCATGGACAGGGACATCTTTCATTAGATCAGGTTACTCAAAGACCTATCCAACCTGACTTTGAACACTTCCAGTGATGTCCATGAGGTTCTTCATTTTTCTGGTCAGCGACCAGAATCTTCCTCACATTTAACCACTCCTGGAGGTTTATCTGGTATACAAAAATATTTGGACTCACGCTTTCCTCAAATTGATATTTTATAAACCACGCTGAAGTCAAACAGCATGCTTTCAGTGTAGTCATACTTTTGGTCCCAACATTAACAGGATTTCCATGAAGAATCTTTACATATAAATGTAATTACTTTTGTGCTAAGCAACTAAGGACTCTTAATTCTATAAATGTGTTCATTCACGAGTATCACAGAACATAAACAAACGGTGTTGTTGTACATACAATCTATTTGAAATCCAAAAAACAAGGAATGAAACATTTGTTGTATTAGCTTCCCATTTTCAGGTTAATACTACAGAATCTCTCTTTACAAATATTGAAATACTTAAGCTCAAAATCATGTTGAATATACACCTTACAATTTTTCCTTTAAATATAACTGTACTGGAGGACAAATTAATAATTACTTTGTGAAGAATGGGAGAGGAGAAGCACATGTCCAAAATGTTAACGGAAAACAATGCAATAGCTTGCTCATTGGTACAAGAGAAAAGAGGTGTTGCTACAAGCTGGCAAACTCCATCTTTGAGTTTCTGGTACTTCAACTTTGTTTCAGATTTCAAGAAATGTGAAAAAGGAAAAAATTATATCCTTTATAGGTGGTGCCATCCCTACTGATCTGGAATGATCTTACCATCTTACCCAGAAGCTTGACAGTTGATTTAACAAGAAAGCTTTGTCTTCCTAACTACTATCAAAACAAGGGGTTTTTTTGCTATAAAAATGTTTATTAGTATTAGCAACCACCAATACCACTTTTTAGCATCTCCGCTTAATTCTGTATCTTAAGGCTATGTTATTAACCCAATATGACTGAAATAAAACACTTCAATCTGTCAAACATATACTGTTGAAGAAACAAACAGAAAATCATAAAGTGCATATAGTGTCTATAAAATATTTAACCTTACCTCAAAAAACAGGATTACCCGAGGGTTTTCTTCAGTGTTTTGAATAAAATAACTAAACCGCTCATTAAATATGACTTGCTCCTCCCACTCTGGAACTGTTGATTTAGACTGACTGAAGTCATATGGTTGTGTCATAATAGGAAGAATGTGCTCTATTTGTTCTTGTTCACAATAAGATGAAACTTTTCTCTTGCTGTTTGAAAATGTCCAGTTACAATTGTTATAGCACCTTACAAAAACCAACTCAGACAAAACAGTATTTTCAATTATTGAAAGCAAAGAAACATACAAGACAACTTTTGTTTGATTTTAGAAAAAAAAAATCCTAAAACCACCCAAAATTTAAGCTAATTTTCATCTGTATAGAAATGCCACAGGCTGAAGTTCAAAACCCTAACAATCAATTTACTGTTACCAAATTCATGCATAACAATCACAAAACCATCATAGAATGGTTTGGGTTATCAGGGTCCTTAAAGATCATTTAGTTCCACCCCCCCCGCCATGAGCAGGGACATCTTCCACTAGATCAAGTTGCTCCATCCAACCTGGCCTTGAACACTTCCAGGGAGGGGGCATCCACAGCTTCTCTGGGTGACCTGTTCCACTGCCTCATCACCCTCACAGTAAAGAATTTCTTCCTTATATCTAATCTGAATCTACCCTCTTCCAGCCTGAAGCCATTACCTCTTGTCCTATCACTACAGGCCCTTGTAAAAAGTCCCTTTCCAGTTTTCTTGTAGGCCCCCTTCAGGTACTGGAAGGCTGCTATAAGGGTCTCCCCAGAGCCTTCTCCTCTTCTACTCATGGTAGAGCCTACTGCTTAAACCCTGTTAAAAATTGTTATTCAGGAAAATTATGCATAATGACAGTGGAAACAAGTAACTGAAGCGATTACAAATATGAAATATTAGAAATATGAAACTTCATTTCAGGATTTTAAACATTCTTTTATTAAAAAAACAAAAGGCAGATGCTATTTATGCTACATGAGTTTTCCTAACTTCTAATCTTGGCTTCAATATATTTTTGAGATTTAGGAAATTTTCTCTCTGTAAACAATACAGAATGAACTGTGCTGTAAATATGGGGACCTTGAGAGCCATACAGCAGTGCAGAGTATTTGAAAGTGCCAAAAAGAAAAGAAAAATACCACCCTAATTTACTGTAGGTATATATATGCGTTATCATAGATATAGAAACTAATGAATGACTTTGCAAGCTTAAAATTCAGCATTAGTTTCATTTTCATATTTAATTTTCTAGGAAAGAATCTATGTATTTCTAGTAATTACTGATAATAGGAACTGTTTAATAAAAGTCACCTATGATCCTTCTTGACGTATAAGCCACTTCTCTGATCAACAACATGAATTTTAACCATGAGATGAGATACCAGGAGATCAGCTTTAAGTCGATCAGATCGATGGATACAAACTCCTAACACAAGATCATCATCAAAACCAGATTTAGACTGAGTTGAAATTTCGGAATTCTTCATTTCCTCATTATTTTCTGCAGCAACTTCTGTGTTTTCTTCTAGAAACAGGAACAAAGTAAATAGAGGTTACTATGTTCCACAAGCGTCAGTTTAAAGGAGTAAAAATGCTCTGTAACGTCTTAGCAATCAATAGTAATCAGATTTAACGTGTTCTTTATATAATAGGTTAAAATAAAATTATCAAATTCGCAGCGTTTTAAACATGTATGAACATACACATGAATATATATTAATTAATATCACAGAATGTTAGGGACTGGAAGCGAACTCTGTGGGTCATCTAGTCCAACCCCCCTGCCGAAGCAGGGTCACCTAGAAATATAATCTATTCCTATTAACAAGAATTTTTATTTAAAATTAGAGGTCTTCCTCTTGATTGATATAGGTACTTCTGTGCCACAATAACTTAAAATCCATACAGTTCAATATCCTGCTCTGGACTACAGCCTGTAGTAGGTTTTGTTTGTTTGTTTGTTTTAAGGAAAATATAAAACCCTAGATAAGCAGAACCTGATGTACTCCTTACGTCTGAATTGAGCATCAGGTTAAAACAGTGGTGATGCACCATTTATAGCATAAAGTAAATAAAAATGATAAAATAATAAGAAGACAATTAGAATATGCATCTAAGTAATACACTGTAAAGATGGTATATATACTATAATTATATTACACTTCAAAAATATCAACTTTTAAAGTATTTATCAATTTCTTAACTACCTACAGTAAACGAATGCTCAAGATTTCAGATTCATATGTTATATAAACTTCCATATAAATTAGCCTCAGAATCGGACGAACAAGAGTACAATTAAGTAACTAAAGAAACATAAGTAATTTCAACAACTCAATTACTTCTGTGTTACTACTATGGACAAATATTTCTGTAGCAGCTTAAAAAAAAAAGAAAAAAGACTTGGATAAAGCAGCAAAGCAGCACACCATTCTAACATTTTGTTGGCAGACCTTTTCTGGTTTTCTTTTTAACCTTCTTTGTTTTAGGTTTCTGTTTTTCCATGCTTTCCTCCAGTTTCTGTCCTCCTGATGTAAATTGTCTTTCCTGTGACAGATTTTCATTGTCATCTTCTGCTGGATGATGCTGTAGCTCAGAAAGCGACATTGCACTGCAATGTAATAAGGGATTACTGTCAGTAATTGCATTCTACTGCATATATGGATACAATTGCTCATTACCATTATTAATACACTTGAAATTTCCTCCTTAGTTCTGCAACTCATCATCTGTGTATCTTGAAAATGCAACACATATCCCCAACATTAGGGCCTTGCCTTTTTCATCTCTCTCCTCCCTTCATTTCTCCCTAATTTCCAGATAGTTGCAGACCTATTAATGTGAACAGAGCTAAGCTAATACTCTTCTGCTGGACCAGGGCCATCACTCATCACTAAAAAATCATGCACAAAATTATCTTTAGTTAAGAGTGAGTTCCACAGAAAATAAACATCAGATGGTAATGGAGAATATTTTTAAAAAAATTTAAATAGAATCTGCAAGTTAAATATCAATCTCGACAGCATTTTGAAAAAGTATTTGGTACTATTTTTTTTCATAAGAGAATCGTCCAGTTCTCACTTACAAAATACGTACAGTTTATCAGAAAGCTTCTGCCTATCTTAAAACAAATGAAACATTTCACCTAAGATTCACAGACACACAGTATACAGTTTATCACGGTACCTTGTTTCAGCTTCGCTTAAAACTTCTATTTCTTTCTTCTTTTTCTTTTTTTTGCCCGCTTTGTTGTTCAATACAACTTCATGGCTTTGAACGGTGGAGGTAAATTCAGACATCTGTTCTTTAAGTTTCATTCTTATTTTCTTTTTAATTGCATTTGCCTCATCCTCAGCCACATGCAGTTGATAGGCTCGAATTAGCTCTTCTTCCTCTTCTAACTCATTTACATTTCTCTCTTCAGTCAAGGAATTTTTAATCTTTCTTTCACCTTCTTGATAAGGTACATCTGTTTGTGATTTACTTTTTGTTTTCTTCTTTGGAAAATCATCAAACTTTTTCTCAAAACTCTCCAATTTAGCTTCATGTAAATTTTCCTCCTCATTAAATTGTTCTTGTAACAGGGATTTCTTTTTCTTCTTGTTAGACTTTGGATGTTTGTTCTCCTCTCCACTAACAATATCATTGTTTATTTTCTCTGCAATTGAGGCTTTCTCTCTCAGTTTATTTTTTGTAAATCGGGGACTCTCTTCTTCTGGATTATATGTGTTGTTTATAATTGCTTCATCATTCACACTTTCCTTAGCTAGATCAATATTACTTCTAAAGGTGTCAAGCTATGAATGAAAAGAACATAAAACATACTTGTACTTTGTATTTTATGTTATTTCTTTAGCAACATTACACAAAGTAAAATTAAATCAAAGATCTAGCCATTTTCTTGTTTAAAATTAACAAGTGGTAGATTGAAAGGCAACAGCAAATTCACACTGAAAAGAAACATTTTGTGTTTGGGCACTTCATCTTCGATTTTGTTTCACTGTGTTTTCAAACTACTTTTATGTATATCCAGTAAAAGAAATCCACAAACAGACACCAATGCTTTAGACTATGGAAGACTTGAAGATTACACGCATCACAAAACCAAGTATTTTCATTCATTTAAAATACAAATCAGAGACAGGCTTCAGGCCTAGTTGTTTGTAGTCTCTTTTACTGAAAGTTGCTTGTCAAAGTCTGATGATGAAATTATATTAATAAGTGCTACAACTGAAAATACAATTTTTATTAGGACTTTTTTTTAAAAAAAAAGTATAAAGTTGAAAAAAAAAACCCCATATTATTCTAAAGACCAGTCTAGTAATACCAGCTAAGATAAATTTCAGCTAATGCGTTTGTCTGTGCACTCCTGCCAATTTTTGGTATTTCTTAGAAAACATGTTGTAAACTTTCCTCCTTCCTTCAGGATTCTTTTCCTGGTTATTAAAAGTCATAGTGCCGCATCCCTAGAAACATTCAAGGTCAGGCTGGACATGTCTCTGAGCAATCTGATCTAGTTGAAGATGTCTCTGCTCATTGCAGGGGGGTTGGACTGGACGACCTTTAAAGGTCCCTTCCAACCCAAACTATTCCATGATAACTCCAAACAACACAGCAAGTAACTAAGGCCTATTTGCGTAAGGAGCTCCACACACATATCTCTGTTCCTTGATGGGACTTCCGTAAAGTCGCGGAGGTTCATTTACTCTGTTGTCTTACATAAAACTCTGGAGTCTCCACATGAAACATTAGAAAGAACTTTAAAAAAACAAAGAAAGCAAATAAAAAAGTTGGAGAAAATGTAAGTATCTGCATACAATCTTTCCTTTGTCAAGACCATCTTCCTCCCTAAATAGAGACATCTTCCCCTTCCAGCTGGGATACTTCTGCCAGTTACAGAACTATGTTTGCCTCAAACATTTTTAAAAAGGGACAATGTGTGTAATAAGCGATCACCAAAATGTACAAGCTTATAAGAAGAAAAAACAGAGAACAAATTTGCATTGGCAATTATGCTCTGGAGGACAGATCCTGACTTAAAAATGCCCACCTGCCACAATAATATTTCATGACTAGAAAGAACACTCAATGTGCAAGTCATCTGCCTCCATGTGGTATGCCCTTAATTCTCTGAATCTTGGTTTATTCGCATCTGACATTTGAAGAGAGAACATGAAGCGCAAGGAAAGTATTATAAGTACTGAAGAAGGAAAAGGGAGGAAAAAGAAAGCAAAGTTTGAAGTACAAGTGAAAACACAAAAGAGAAAAAAAACCAAGGAAGTTTATTATTTGTATGGGAAAAGTCAAATAAAAGTAGTGTGACACGAAAAATACACCAAGACAAAGTTTAACAGAGAAATAAAAGCTGATGTCTGAAACTAGAGACAAAGCTTGAAAGTGCACTACCTAGACTTACTAATGCTACATATTAAAAAACACTGTCCTAATAAAGTATGAGTTAAAAAGAAAGCATCTAGAATTTCATGCAAGTATGCATCTCTACTACATCAGAAAAATTTAAAGCTATTGACATATCTTGTCAGTAGGTTTAGCCTCATATGTCTAAAAGCAGTTTAAATTATCTCAATATCAAATAATGAAAAAACCTGCCTTTGTACCTTCATCTTTTACTTGCTTAATAGACCAGTAACATCCTCTTTATTCATAAGTCAACGATTTAAGAGAATGTGGCAGATCTCGTACAAATATCTTAAAATACAGAAGAGAGTTATGGAAATCAAAAAAACCAAACCAACCCAACAAATTAAAGCAACAAGCTTTGTATAAACTAAAAAACCCAAAATAATGCTTTCTAATAGATTGCCCACTTCCTTATCTGCATTTCTACAAATAGCTTTAACCGCAGGGTGTAAGGAATGAAGGTTAAAACACACTGGCAATTAAGACCCAACAGTGACCAACAGCTAAGGTCATGCTGACTTTTGCCTTTGACAGAACATTAATCCATTAAGCTCAAGAAGCAGGATTCTTCGAGAAATCCTAAACAAGAAGCCCGTGTCTTTGACCTGTTCAAGTGTTTCTAAAACACCTCTGGTATTCAAGAATCATTTCCTCAAAAAAACCTTGCTGTTGCAAAAACTTGCTTGAAATATTTACTAGAAGTTATTTATTACGCCTACAAACAAAAACATGCGTCCACAAATATGTCATGAATAGTAGCAGCACACAGTCACTTAATTATAGCAAATTTACTCGTAGGAAAAAAAAAAACATAATGTCCTCATAGTGAAATAAAACACAATCTCAAACTACAGCAAATTCCAGGAACTTTAATAGACACTGCAGGCAGCACAAAGCTGCTTCAACAGTTCAAACACAAATTCCTCAGATATCTAGCCTGTATGATCTTAATTCAGGCCACTTTTTCCACATGTAATTACATGATGTAATTAAACAGAGAGGAAAGATGCAAGGGTGTCACAAAACGATAAGGTAAAAGTCAAGAGGTTCATAAAAACCATCAGATTAGGTCTCAGGCAGAGGCAGGGATACTGGTACAGATTCTGTGTCTGAAATGCAGGACAGAGAGATCAACTCAGAGCAATCGTCTATACATAAATACACTTGAACTGAGTTAGAAAAAGCAGTCAGGCTGGAAAAGCTGCTCAGAGGATGGGCCTGTCTCTGGAGTAACTCCAGAGGGTTGCTGACCTGATTAAAGCATGGAACAAATGAGAAGGCTTTTTTTTCAAAACAGCTCCGTGGCCACATTACAACACCAGGGCAGAGGAAGCCCTCTTCCCTGAGAACATGTCCGTTTGCACCCCTGGCTTGAGATGATGGAGCAAGAGATGGGCGCTAGCCAAGATGCCTGCAGGTGGGCTAACACAAGGCCCCTGCAGCAACGAGCCAACCCCAGGTCACGTCACTTGTCACTGGCGTTCCAGAGCTGACAGCAGGGACAACACCCAATAACCTTACTCCTTTTCAGAAAGGCTTCTCAAATATGCTTGAGTAGAACCTCGAAACACATCAAGTGATTTTGCCCAGGGTATCTGGAAACTCAGATAACCAGATTTACAAGAGGTACCTGAACTTCTTCCCACAATACAGGCACACCTTGAAAAATTAGGAATGGACATTGCCAGCCCACCGAAGGGCTGGTATGTACTGGTAGTAAAAGACCATTTACTTACAAGTGAATTGATAATGAATGTACTTGTGATGCTGGCTAGCTGGGTGGGACGTATAAGAAAATATTAATGCACTACAGAACCAATTTTACTGCCACTGCTCATGTAAGACTACACAATGTAGACGCTTATTATAACAACTTGTAATAGGAGGCTCAACTGGTAAAAAATAAGTATAGTGACTGTTCGCCCTGGAAGGGACACCAGCAAATTCACTTTCTGTGTCCCAATTGCTTGGTTTTTCAGCCATGCCTTCAGGCCTCATACCCACTGCACCTGTGCTATTAAACAACACAGCAGACCCTTCACTGGCCACAGCTGATGTCTTATCTCCATCTCCATCACAAGCCCCTCATTCCCATCAGCTGTGACCCATCCTGCCCTACTGACATCAGCCCTTCCACTTCCAGTAAGGCTGCTTCCCTTCTCTCCAGGCAGGCTCTCCAGGAGATGGGCACGCAGAGCAGGCAATCTCCTTACCCTCATTTGTTTAAAATCACAGCAACCTCCTGCAGCTCCAGAACTCAGCTTTCAAGGAAACAGTGGACTATGATGGACAAGGTTTTATTAATCTAAGAAAGGCTAGGTTCAGTAAGGACTAAAGAAAGAGGCAGACCGGAACATTTCCAGTGGAAATATGCTCTCAACCATGACTTGTTTCTGCTCAAACCTGGGAGACCATTTATGCCAAGTGCGTGACACAAAGACAACAATCACTGATAAATTTCACTGTATTTCAAGATATGTGAAACTCTATACAGTTTAATCCTATAAAGTGCAGAAAACTGGAACAAAACCAGCCAACCTCCTCCATCTATGTCCTCTTCCCCTCCCACACACATTTATTTCTTACAAAGAAATGACTGGTTATTTGCTGAAGCTTTTACAGAAGTTTCTACTTGAATGCAACCAGCGTGGAAAATACCAACCTGAGCTCTTGCAACTTTGCCACGTTTGAAAGAAATATTCAAACTGCTCAGTATTGTTTCAATACACCTTCTACTTAAGTTCCTAGTTTTTTAGTGCTTTGATTGATAAAAATCTATGGCTTCAACAAAACCATAAAGTTAGGCTTCCACACTGACCCTCAAAAAGCCTCTTAATTTGTGTGTATACCATTAACTTTTGATTCAGTTCACTGATTTTACATGTTTCTAGGTAACTCCAAAACAGTGGTTTACATCAGAGACTTCTGGAATGAAAACCAATTTTAAAAGTGAAGTAAGCTTAAAATATTTATGAGTAAAATGTAGTTCCATATGAACATACAATTATGTGCTCAAAAACACTTATATCTTACCAATAGAATACTAAGTTTAATATAACTATTCCGAATATACTTATAGATAGTAAATACATGTAACATTCTGGTATTATAAAACTTTTCTTAAATGAGTATTAGAGAATGAACATTGACTTCTAGCATCTGGTACGGATGCAATTGTAAGAAAAGACTGAAAATATAAAACCTAACAAAATACAAAAAAGAGCATTTGTCTTTTGAACAAATTGCTTTCTTTTGAAATTCCAAACATTGTAAGTCTATAATTGGTATATATATAGGACTCAAACATTTCTTATTCTGTTCAGGAAAAAACTACAATATGAACCATAATTCAGAAGAATCTCTGAGGTTCTTTCTATGAAAGATATGCCATAAACAAAAATGTCACCTAACCATCAGGTCAGGGTGACAGAATCATTCCTGTCCTGCAAGTCACAAGCTAATGCCAAACTCTTTAAAACAAATCTTTATACATGTGTACTGCACAAGTAGACATGTAAACAAAGGACCACTCAGATACAAAGCTCAGCATGTGCAGAAATATGCTGATTATTGAGATTAAATTGAAAAAAGTTTCAAATGTTGTGTAATATTTTCTTATTCTTACAGAATCACAGAATCATTAAGGTTGGAAAAGACCTCTAAGATCGAGTCCAACCATCCACCCAACACCACCATTCCTACTAAACCATGTCCTGAAGTACCACATCTACAAGCTTTTTGAACACCTCCAGGGATGGTGACTCCACCACCTCCCTGGGCAGCCTGTTCCAATGCCTGACCACTCTTCCAGTAAAGAAATTTTTCCTAATATCCAATCTAAACCTCCCCTGACACACTTGAGGCCATTTCCTCTTGTCCTATCACTAATATAATATACAATTATACCAGTAATTTTTAGGAAATGGAATAAAGTTAATGATTACCTTTAATATAAATTCTCCTCAGTTTTCAATTCACAGATGTATTACACAGATGTACCTGTATTACACAGAGATAGTACTCTCAAAATCAAATACTTCCACAGCCATAACTCTATTAGCCCATGACTCAAACACTCACTAAATTCAGTACTGAATTTGAAAATCTTCAAACTTTTGTGAAAAATGTGAATGTAAAAAAAGTACTGGCAGACTTTAAATGAGTGTATGCCTGCATGTGCTACTTTCTTTTTACCAGTATTATATTCCATATAATTATGGCATACTTCCAAACTACAAGGATGCATTGGTGGTACACAAACAACAAATAAAAACCACATCAAAAACAAAGGATATGTGCAGAAACATACTTTTATTTTTTTAAAATGCTTACATCTCCTTTCTACAACACATTTTCCTGATCTTTTTTCTATTAAGGAAAGCAACTAAACAAAGCTTGCATGTGTTCAAACTCACCACGATATTCTCTTCCGAGTGAAACTTCTTTTTCTTTGATTTCTTTGTGTCTGTTAGGCCAGCATGACGTCTGAAGATTTCCTCAAAGCGGACTTTGGTTTTTGCCTTTGCCTCACTTTCAACTGCGAAATGAAATCTAGAGTATAATTCACTATCTCAATAATCGTCATTGCTAAAAAAGTGCATAGTCATGCTTTAAAATTGAAAAAAATAATTATTTTATCAGGGAAAGTTTACCAAGAAATTAGCTCAGTGTTCAGTTAAGAATTTCCAGTGACAGCATAAACCATACAAGCATAGTACAGCAACATTGTACAAACACACCAGGCTATTATTTGTTGCTGAAGTCGGCACCGTCTACTCTGTTTCCTGAAGAAAACATATTTTGAAGATCACACACATCAGGATCAGCACAAAACTTGGGCTGGCCAAAGCAGAGCACAGATTATTGCCCTCACTGTTTATGAATAGTAACACACTGATAACGGAGGTGACACAGTCTCCAGGAGAAGCAGAAGCTCTGGGTTCTCACTAAGTACGGCACCCAGAGAAGCACCACCCTGAGACAGATATGTAAGAGGCAGGAGCATGCAGGGATCCATAATCAGCTGGAGCTGAGAGACCCTGCCTTTCTGTGAATCACGATGCTGCCGTTAGCAGCATTTCAACCCTTGAAGCACTAGGTGTTCTAGCCTCCCCAAGATGCTTAATTTGCAGCTAAAGAATTAAAAATGCAGTCTGGCACACCACTGAAAAAGGCTGTTGAATCCTCAGCTATGCCACACTTACCACTGTAATTACAATTTTTAAAAAAGCCCCTAAATTTAAAATATAAAAAAAACCACCCCAAAAACAACACTTCGAAAATCAGCTATAAACATGGACTAAAAGCAAAGCCAATGCAGCATTACAATTTATAGGCAAAGTAGCTCCTATCATTTGCATCTAGTTCTGACTATAAAGTATGCATTGGAAATCAAACACAAAGTATTCTTACCTGCTGGCATTTTCAGTCCTCAGTTAGAAGAGGCTCAACACACCAGCTGCTTCTTTCTCAGAAATCACCGTTCTATTTAAAGTAATTAACAACTTTCATTAACATAACTGGTCCATAGACTTGAAGGTAACAATTGAATGGATGCTAATTAATATCAAGGATGAGCAGAGGTCTTTTAGGGAAATATATTTCTAGACTATTTGTCTAAATTATTAGAAGTTCTCTGCCATCAAATCTCAGCTCAGGATTCTCAGCATCTATCTGATACTTATTATTTGAGAGTAAATACAAACCAATACTACAGGAATTTAATTAGCTATATATTTCTGGGCAATAGCCAAATACTTCAGTACTGTAGTCCTCCAGTCTTCTAAAAAACCCTACTGTTTATTTAAATAATCATGACCTATGAAACCATTTATAATGAAGCCTTTCTAATGAGGTTCCTGTCCTGACCGTATCACCAAGGAAGTCACACTGTAGTCAGCCGATAGCTTTCAATGCAAAGATTAGTATCTGCCAGCAAATCTAACTTTGTTACAAATCTCTAAATATTTATGTTTACATAAAGCATTGGTATTTTACATAAAGCAGACAAGCAATTACATGAAACTCATTTCTCTAAAGAAAAAATGTTAGGCCCTCCTGGTTGTGGAGAAAAGCTACAAACGCAATCCAAACAAAGCTTGAAGGCAAATAAAAATAATACACAGCTTTATCTTTTCATCAGGAAAATTCAGAATGTTTTACAAAAAACTTTAATACAAAAAGCTGTTTTGTAAACAGTGGAACTAATGAAAACTAGCTTTTTATGAATGTGTTGTGTGCCTCTCAGCCTTCCATGCAACAAACTATTGTACCCATCTCCCCAGCAGCCCATCAGGCAATAGCTCCAAGTTCTCCCTAGGTAATGCCTCCTGTTAGACACCACTAGTTCATATTCACTGGACACCCAGACTACATCTATCCTAATAAATTAAGACATAGCATTAAACATCGCCAGGCTATATGGTTGCATTATCCTTGGCACCATTTCGGTCCAAGCCACCTAACACTCACCCAAGCAATTCCCGAGTACAATTTAGGAGTTAGCATGGATTATTACTAACAGGCAGTTTGCATGCGACCAGTTTGATTTGGGACTATCAGAGTTCAACGGCATTAAAGGGGGGTTGGACGAGATGACCCACAGAGGTCCCTTCCAACCACTAACATTCTGTGATTCTGTAAAGTGGGCCAAACATACCACTTGGCCTCAACACTAAAAACCACTCCTGAGCACACACATCTTACCAGTATAGGAAGGAACTGAAGTTACACTTCCCCAGGCATCTGCACTACTGTACCCTCAGATATCCTAATAAATCACCTCTCTTTCATCCTCTTCTTTCTCACCTCTTTTTCACGGTGTCACTTGCTTCCTCCCTGTCCCACACAGGCTACATACCTCCAGATTATTTCACATTTGTTACTTACAGTAGTTTGGTCTGCTGGCTAGCCAAACCACGCCAAACTAAGAAAAAAAAGGCAAAATGTTAGAGTTGGTTTGAGACTACAAAAGTGCTGGTTAGTCAGTTGCCAGGTGTTATTAGTTTGTTTCATGCATTAAGCAAAGCATTTATACTAAGTATCCAAGGATGTTTGAAATGAGCAAGCATGACCAAAAGGGACTTCATAGGAAGAAAAAAAATGTTTTGTTCTGTAACGTGCTTCATCATGTCACTGACAAGGTAGCAATATTTTCTCTAACTAAAATATGTTTTGACTCGTGAAGCAAAGCTTTACTGTCACAACTAAAACTGTAACAGTTAAAAATAACACTTCTTACAAGAAATGAAAACAGAAAAAATTACTGAAAAATAGAACTGCTTTTGCAATTTATACTTGGTTATACTAAAAGGCCATTTTAAAAGTACTACAGTTATTAAGTGCTGCTTTTCAAGCAGTCCATTCACAATTGACTAGAAAATACTTATAATTTGAAAGAGTAGAAAACTAAATAAAGTTCTAAAATACAGCAGATTCTATCACTTTAGTCATTCACTGAGGATTGCAGGAACATGGAATTCTCTTATGACTAGTTAAGTGATTTCAACCAAGCCCTCAATAAAACTAATTACGAACAACAAATTAAATGCTGAAGTGCTCTTAAATTTGAAACTTTTAAAAAACATGAGACACAATACAGAACACAACAGCAAAATAAGGAAAGTGCATACCTGTTCCAAATATGGAAAAAATTTTATGGTCAAAGTTTGAATAAATCACACCACAAAAAAGCCTATAGATAAATTAATTTTGCAGATACTTTTGCTTATAACGGAACAAACACCTTTCCAAAGGCTAGGCTCACCTCATGTCTACCAGCACTCTCTGTAAAATGCACCGACTCACCAAATTCACCAGTGAGTGCATCATTTTCTGTTTACCTCTATTTATTCAGTAAAAGTCTATCCTCCTGTGGCAATAAAATTAAGAGATAAAGTCCTCTAATGAGTGCTATTATTTCATACACATATCCAATTTAGAATCACATGACCTTAGACACGGTGCATGAAAGCAACTATTAGACTTGTGTAAATATAGATCATTAATCAACAAGGGTGATAACAAGGCTGTTTACTTGGTATAATCTCACCTTAAAATAGGAGAGATTTAATCATGTATCAAAGTTCAACAACCGCAGTGCCCTGATCTCAATAAACTCAGTTATCATTAGGGTTAATCTTGTTAAGATGCATTTTTGCCTGATCAGATTCAATCTCTTCCATGTTAGTTAATATAAGGCAATCCAGGAATGACAAAAATACATATTTTGAACAGTGGCACATTCCAGCCATCAAGAATAACCAAAAAAACCAAAATTACGAAGCCCAAGCTTCCAAGAATTACTATATACCTTCCTGAAAATCATCTTATTTTCTCATCTCAAATATTCAGTCTGTATTTATAAATGTCACTCTACATTAAATTCTTGCTCTTTTAATAATATTTTACAATACTCAGTTGCTATATTCTGCACCCATAATATAGGAATTCTCTATGCAAAACATGCTACAAAGCCCACTATTCATTTTTATTGATCACAAAAAAAATATAATCAAACCTATGCTATAATAGAGCAGAACATACAGAATCTGTACTACACAACAGGATGTGACAAATTTCCTACCTAATTAGGACCATTTAGGAAACTGAGTTGACAAAACTATAATTGCACACTTCAGGATTTTCATGAACTAAATCCCTCATTTTTCTTCTACTGCAAAAAGTGAACATACTCTTCAGCAGCTGAGAACAAGTAGAACATCAGGCCTTGTCTACTTGTCATCTTTTAGATGAGATCAGTCACCATACTGGGAAATCCTGGGTTTTACTAGCAGGTTTCTAATTCATCTACCTGTAGGCATCACTACTTTGAAATCTGAAAAAGCTGTAACTCAGAATTATACAGCAAAATAACACAGAGTCGAATCTGTTCCTCTTCGCTAATGACAACTGTGACATGAAAAATCCCTGGTTCTATTCATGAGTATTTAACTCCAGAAAACCAATAGCTTTATTATTACCATGTAAATACCTATGTACTTGTGTATCAAATAAGCGCCACTAAAAAGTGCAGTAGCTTTCTACCAGTTTAGATGCGCCGTAAAAACCTCGTGTTCACACTAATTTAAAAGGATGTTTAAAAAAGCTGGTGCTACCCCTCTGAGTTCTCCAATAGTAATGTATCAGAAAGCTTTAGCTTCAGAGTAACCGCTGTTTTTTCCCCAGAAGATCTGACACCTCTTGTTGGTCGGGAGAAGGCTGAAAACAGCCTCTGCCTGACCTGATGGCAAAGCTACGGACTTCAGTTCCGTGTAAGGAAATGGAGCTGACTTTTGTTGTTTACTGCATTTTAAGTCTCTGCCTTATCTTAGGACCGTAACGGTGAAAACGGGTTCTCATCACGAGAGCACCCTCAGGACTGCCGTTTCCGAAGTGGCATTCCGCTTGGCGTGGAGGAACGACGGTAAACGGCAAAGACACGACGGAAGGCGCCCAGCAGACGCCACAACAGGACTAACGGCCGGATTAACCGCGTTTAACGTGCAGCCGCGCGAGGGGGGGAATCACGCCGGGGCTCCCCGCGTGAGGCCCGGCGCGGCCCCGCACC